TCCACCAGCTCTGCAGACAGTCTTTACAGAAGCTGTGGCTACATGACAGCATGACAGGATCTTTAAAGATGTCCTGACAGACAGAACAGCAGAAATCTTCCTCTAATCTTGAAGCCATTTAGTCTCTGAGTGAAGCTGACACACAGCAGGCAGACAGCTCAGTCACTCCCTGTTCCCTGAAAGTTACTTTCACTTTGAGTCTTTGTTTTCTTGTAAAACTCTGGTTCAGTGTGTGCAGTCAGCAGCTGGTTGAAGTGGTCATATTCCAGTATTCCCAGTATTCCCTCCTGTAGCTGACCCCTCTCAGTGAAGTGGTTGTTTTGGTCTGAAGGTAAATCCTATCGTCCGTCTCTCAGTGTGTGTGTGTGTGTGTGTGTGTGTGTGTGTGTGTGTCTGTTTCAGTGAGGCACAACCTGTTGCCTGATTTGTCTCAGGTGAGTCATCTGATGGGCGGAGCTTCATTAGGTACTGTACGCTACTTGTCTTTGTCTGTATGTACTGCATTCACACAAGGAATGATCCTAAATTAAATTCTATCAAATAATCTCAGCATGCAAACTAAAATAACTTTTTTCTTCAAGAGCAAAGTTTTTCATCTCCAAGAACATCATGAATCTGAACCTCAGGCCCCATATACACCTGGTACAACAGAGACAAGAACTGTGACCATGACACCAATAACCACTGTACAGCGTTTTGTTCTCCATGAGCAAAACAAAAACCTCCAAAGTCATCACTGAGTGCCACTTTAAATAAATTGAAAGTAATATTGAAATATGACATTACATGCATGTTGACTTTCACCAATAAAAGTGCAGTTTTAGGACCAGATGACCTTCAGTGACCCCTGTGGGGGAGTCATAGCACTACAGATGGACACAGGACACAAAATGTGACCTGTGAATATCAGCAGAGAAAATGTGGGATTCATTTCTTGCAGTGCACTGTAATGTTTTATTATTCACACTTTTATTGATTTTAACTTAACTGTAACTTCTATTCTTGTATTTTATACCTGTCTTAGTAGATTTTAACTTTGTATTTTCTATTCTCCAGTTCTCTAATCAATGTCCTTTTATAATGTGTTTTTTTTTTGCACCTTGTTTTGGTGATTTTGATGTTTTATGTGGAGCACTGTGAATCGCTTTGTTGCTGGAATGTGCTATAGAAATTAAGCTCAGTGTAAGTTCGATCAGGAAGACCTTTCTTGTGCTTATTCATTCATAACTCTCTCCATCCCACTCCCACTGCTTCCTCTAATCACCTGACTATGGGTGTTCACTCTTCTAGTTATCCAATCACACTTTGCCACGATATCTCTCAGCCAATGAAAAATTTTAAATCTGCTCTCTCTTCTCTGCTGTCAGCCATCATTTTAGGCAGAACTGTCGCACCCGCCTCCACCCTGGTCACCTCCAGCCATCGTATCCAGAGTCCAGGTCAAGCTCAACAAAGGCTCACTCTTCTACTCATCCAGATGATCATCATTTCTCCATCTTCCTCTCATGGCATCTTCACCACTTCTACCACCACCAGCGTCTAGACCCCGGGGGGTTCCCTATTCGACTATGGATTCATTACCCTCCTTAAATCAAACCATCTCTACTGGGTCTAATTGCCAAAGATATTTCCACATTTTGCATTCTTATGTGCACATGTTAGTAATATCTTTTACTATAAAAACGTGTCTCTCCTGATTGAAATAAACTTGCCTTGCCTTACATGTGACTCTCTGTTGTTACCACACCAGGAGTAGCCTGGAACATCAGTCTGATCATCATTTGATAAATGTCTTTTAATTACTTAAATTATGTCAGGGTTTAAAGTCTACAGCAATCACATTCTGAGTTTACAGTTCAAACTAGTCCGACCATTAATGTTCCAAAGTACAAGGGACAGACAAAGGATGGACTATGCTTATAGGCAGACTCTCCTCAGTCTCCCACCTGCAGACAGTGAGCCTGCTTGTGCTGTAATGACTTCAGGGTTGGTTTGCTTCATCAGTCGACATGAAAAAGTCCTTTCCAGCCAGTATCTCCTGAAGGAGCATTTGAAAGTTGAGCTCAAAGATCTGATCAGTTTGGGACTTGGCTGATCTCTGGTAAACCCCTTTAAAAGCCGTGTTACTCTTCAAGTTTTGTTAACGCTTCAGCACGGCCACCTTGTCCCCACCGTACCAAAGGCAGCTTTCACCACCCCCAGACCGGTTCTTGACACTCACAGGCTCATTACTACAACAATTTCTGGTACAGTATCTGTTTGTAACTTGCCTTGTTTATTGAAATCGTATTAGTTTAGACTGCATTTAGACCCCAGCATACACCTGGTGCCCAGCAGCCATCTTGCTTAAAGAAAGCAGATAGGATATTGTATTTTAGAAACTCAATAAACGTTCTGATTGGATCGTTCAGAGGCATAAAAAATGACATGAACAAACACAATCTTAAATAAATTATTTTAAAAGATACTGATTGTTGCTAGATTTTATACAGTAGATGTCATCCTCATCACCATGACAACCAACATCACCAAGACAACAAAGTCACATGTTCCTCCAAGTGTCAGTGAAGGAAATTCAGTTTGTCTTGAAATAAACATGAACTGATTCATGTCCATCATCATCATCATCATCATCATCATCATCACCATCTATTTCTGTTGTTCTACAGTCACAGAGACCTTCACTGGTAAAATCTTCAGTGGGACTTTACCCACACTGTCAATGAATGGAAACATCCTCTCAGTGAAAGTGTGTGTGAAGGTGTGTATGTGTGTGTTAGTATCAGGATCATAGAACGACAGCTTTTGTCTCGTAAAGTCCAGATTCACTCTGATCCTCTGGAGCTTCTTCTGCACTAGGGGATCGGTGACTGGATCTGGTGGGGAGAATGCTCTGTATTCACCTACACAGAACCATATTCTCCATAATCCAGACTGTATGGGTTCCTTCCTCTGGACAGACTCTGCTAACACACCCAGTGACCAAAATTTACTGTCTCCAACCTCGACATCCCAGCTGTGAGTCCCTGAGTTAAAGCCCTCAGAGCCCAGGACAGACCAGTAGTAACCATCAAACCTCTCTGGATTATCAGGAAGCTGCTGTTTCTGTCCTTGTCTCACACTGGTCAGATCTTCAGACAACACAACTCTTGGATCAGCAGTGTTTGGGTCCAGAATCACAGGAGTGTAGGAGACCACGTCCTTCATCTTGTTCCAGATGTTGAAGGTCAGGTTGCCCAGGTGTTTGGCCTCGTCTATCAGAGCTCCTGAGGGCAGCTGTGGATCATCCAGCAGGGGGCGCTGCTGGACTCTGTCCACTGCAGCCTTGTAGTTGAGCAGGAATGAGACGTCTTCAGCTCTCAGCTCGTCCTCTGTGGCTCTGACTGTGTCTGAAAGAGCTGCTATCTCTCTGCTCAGAGCCTCCATCTTCTCCTTCATCATCTGACTCTTCTGCTCCTCTTCCTCCCTCAGTGCAGCCATCCTGGCCTCCTCTTCCTCCTCAAGAAACTGGTGAAGCTTCTTAAACTGCTTCTTAATCTGCCTCTCTGTGCGTCGGGCCTGGACCTGAATGTGTTCTGCTGTTTGATCAAACTTCACTTTAACCTGTTCAAAATCCTTTAACTTCTTCTTTAAGGGCTCCAGAGTTTCCTGAAGTTCCTCCTTGTGTTGTCGTGCAGCTTCATCGATGGGTTTGAATCTGTGGTTGGTGTGTTTATCTGAATCTCTGCAGACGACACACACCGGCTGCTGATGGTTCAGACAGAAGAGTTTGAGTTTCTCAGAGTGCAGACTGCAGAGAGCCTCTGAAGCTCTCTGATCTCTCTCCTGTAAGAAACTCTCACAAAGGTTCTTTAACACCAAGTTAGGAGGTAGTCTTTCCTGTGAATGTCTTCTCTTACAAACTGGACACTCCCGTGTTGGTTTCTCTCTCCACCAGCTCTGCAGACAGTCTTTACAGAAGCTGTGGCTACATGACAGGATGACAGGATCTTTAAAGATGTCCTGACAGACAGAACAGCAGAAATCTTCCTCTAATCTTGAAGCCATTTAGTCTCTGAGTGAAGCTGACACACAGCAGGCAGACAGCTCAGCCACTCCCTGTTCCCTGAAAGTTACTTTCACTTTGAGTCTTTGTTTTCTTGTAAAACTCTGGTTCAGTGTGTGCAGTCAGCAGCTGGTTGAAGTGGTCATATTCCAGTATTCCCAGTATTCCCTCCTGTAGCTGACCTCTCTCAGTGAAGTGGTTGTTTTGGTTTGAAGGTAAATCTTATCGTCCGTCTTTCAGTGTGTGTGTGTGTGTGTGTGTGTGTGTGTGTGTCTGTTTCAGTGAGGCAGAATACCTTCCTGTTTCCTGGTTTTTCTCAAGTGAGTCATCTGATGGGCGGAGCTTCATTAGGTACTGTACACTACTTCTGTCTTTGTCTGTATGTACTGCATTCACACAAGGAATGATCCTAAATTAAATTCTATCAAATAATCTCAGCATGTAATTTGAAATCACTTTTTTCTTCAAGAACAAAGTTTTTCATCTCCAAGAACATCACGAATCCAAACCTCAGGCCCCATATACACCCGGTACAACTAAGTTAATAATTGTGACCATGACAACAATAACCACTGTACAGCATTTTGTTCTCCATGTACAAAACAAACCCTTCACACTAAATAAAATCTATCTGTAAAGAGGACTCTCTACGACCTAAAAGCATCACAGACCATTCAAACATACAGAGGAGTCCTCGCAGTGGAGTGAGGTCGTTACAACGGGCCCTAGTGAACACTAGTTACTGGTTATGTGCTTGAATTCGCAACTGTATAATCTTATCGTCTCGTCAAATAATCACAGACTTGACATTGGATAAGACCAACAAACATATTACCCAGAAATCATCACTGCATGTGTGTATATCACAAAAGTACCAAAGAAAAATGCATTTTTAATGTCTCCTAGCTATTTACGATCAGAAGGACAATATAACTATAAAAAACAAAACACTGTCAACAGTTATTAAGTCCCAATGTCTTCAAACGAGTACTTCCAAATTAACAGTGTCTTAGCTTGTTACTGTTGCTAAAATTGTTCACATGTGTTGCCATATTAAACTACAAACATTATTAATCATAAATAAACAAGTTTCAACCATAAAATGTGATCAGGTTTTGGACCTTGTCCACTTTTGTGTTGGGATCGGCTGCAGACTGACTTGGCAGAGATGGCTGCCATCTTTTACATGGATTAGTGTATTGTGGTCTTACTGCCACTAGATGGCACAAAAAAGTGTCCATGGACGAGGACAACAGGTCTCAGTAGTATGAACAGAGGTGGAAAGAGTACTGAATATTTGTACTCAAGTACAAGTACTGTTATATTGCTTAAATTGTGCTCAATTACAAGTAAAAGTACTGGTGTTTAAAAAATACTTAAAGGCGCAATAAGCGAAATTCATCATTTCTAGATTGAAGGAATTAAAAAATTGCTATGTGAAGAACTAGAGGTGTAATTTCATCTGGAGTATAGCATGACCTCACACACCCTCTCTCTGTGTTGATCTCCAGCCCCTTGTTTACAAGCCGGTCCGGCTGCGCGTTCATGTGAATCTAAATATTCTAGCTAAAATAAAGCTAAACACAGCAGAGACCGAGAGTGAGTGAAAGACATTGCTAACTGCTAAACTAAGCTGGCTGTTCAGGTTTTATTTCCTCGCCCCTGTGGTGAATGAATCTGCCTGCAGTGAAAGTGGGGGCTAACCAGTGCTTCCTCCTCAGGCTCCACTTCACTCAGCTGCTAACACAGCCAGTTAGCCTCCGCTAGCTTCCCAGCTAGCGGCTCTCCGTTTGGATCCAACCGGAGCACCGAGCCCTGGTTTGTTATTCAGGTTAATGTGGGAAGAAGCAGCAGGTATATGAAGGTATATGAGTGAAGCGGAGCCTGTGGAAGAAACACCGGGACCGTCTGGATGTGATAGTCCGTGGAGGTGCTGCGGTACTCGCCGGCACAGACGAGGCGAGTGGGGGGGGGGGGTGTTGGAGAGCAGAGGTAGAGGGAGGAGTGGCTCATGACACACTTTGTTTTGCTCTACAGGCAGTGCACAACAGCAAACCTAGCAGTGAAACGATTTCGCTTATTGTCCCTTTAAGTAAAAGTACAAAGTACTCTTCTCAGAAACTACTCAGAGTATTAATTACTTTTATCCGATTGATGTTTTATTGCGTCGTCAATAGCAGGCATTCGATTCGATTCACCTGTATAAAATATCAAAAACAGCTCACCTTATACAGTGAAATTACTGCAATGATATGCCTATTATGAGGCAAGAGTGTAAACACATGTCACACACATGAATACATGGGGCTCACTGACTCCACAAGAGTCACAGCTTTCCAGTCAGCCCCAATTTATCCAACTGTAATACTGTTTAAGGACCCCAATATGCAGGAATAATAAAATAGAATAAGCGAAATTACATAAATACCGCAAAATAACCGCGTGGGTTTTGCACAAAACTGCAAGGGATTAGAGTAAAGTGGATGTGTCTGTAAAGGGGTAACGCTTATCATACGAAAACATTTTCCTTCAGGTATCTTGAAGTAAGAGAACAAGGGACCCCTTGCTTGTGCCCTGTTGTCCATGCTAAACGTTAGCCTGAATTTGGCGCACTATTTACCGCCCCTTACCGACAAGCTAACATGACATGGTTAATTTTCATGGTTAATATTTCATATAACATAGCGTCACTCTAGCACAAAATATAGGCCTGCTGAATGTAGGCCTGTGAGTATTAAATGACTGTTATAGATTAATTGGCGCGGTGGCGATCGGACATCCTTATTGGCTACAAAGATGCAGATGAAAGGTTTGAATATTAATTCAAATTGTGGGCATACTCAGTAGCGACTTATGATTTTAAAAGTAGCAAAATAGATTACATGGTGTAAATTGTACTCAAGTATGAGTAAAATTACACACTTGAAAAAAATACTCATAAAAGTACAAGTACCCAAAAAAATCTACTTAATTACAGTATTTGTAATTCGTTACTTCCACCCCTGAGTATGAAGTATAAGGTCAAGTAAACCCAAAATGTGATGTACTCATATGAGGACGCAGGGTGTCAGGAGGAAATGAAACCAACTTTTTCTTCACCAATAGCAAGTCTGTCCTCCAAATTTCTATTAGTACGTTTTTTTAAATATCTTTGTGACAGTCAAATCAACCATTATGTACATGAACAAGAGAGACAAGATAAAAAAAAAAGTGTTAATAGACAGATGCGTCATCTAGCAGAAGCAAAACAGCTGAGATCAGTGTATTATTGATGTGAGGTTGTACGTACGCAGACCAGCAGGGCAGGGATGGGTGTGCAGTTCTTATAATGAATCATAGCCAGCAGGCTGGGCAGGTGACCCTCTCTGGCTCCGGAGAAACACAACCTGCAGGGACAAACATCAGGAGGCCAATCAGCAGCCATGTCAAAGCAGTGTAGGAGCATAAAGGAGCAGGCGGACCAGCAGGCCTCACCTGGAGGAGGTGAACAGGTAGCCGTTGATTCCCCCGAAGGTGGACAGAGCCACGGAGATCGGCATGATGACGGAGAACATTCCCAGCAGCTTCTCTCCGAATGTCTGAACGGCAGAATGACAGACAGAATCACTGATGTGTACAGGACTGATTAACATCGCAACATGACGGGTCGTGTTTTTCTCTCCTGTTGAGTGTCTAGTTTTAAAACTGCATGCTTTTAGCCACACTGGTGTTGAGGGACGGCTATGAAGTGTCAAGACACTGAACTCTGAGAAAATGCTGCAAAGTAAGAAAACTTTCAAAAATATAAAATGTAATTGTTTATTTTTATCAATTTAGAAAAAGCAAAGTGAGCGAACAGAGAAAAAATCTACATCAAATCAATATTTGGTGTGACCACCCTTTGCCTTTGAAACAGCATCAGTTCTTCTCTGTATACTTGCACTCGGTTTCTGAAGGAACTCGGCAGGTAGGTTGTTCCAAACATCTTGGAGACCTAACCACAGACCTTCTGTGGCTGTAGGCTGCCTCAAATCCTTCTGTCTCTTCATGTCATCCCAGAAAGGATGGCATTGAGATCAGGGCTCTGTGGTGGTTGACCATCACTTACAGGACTCCTTGTTCTTCTTTACGCTGAAGATAGTTCCTAATGACATTGGCTGTATGTTTGGGGTTTATGTCCTGCTGCAGAATAAATGTGGGGCAAATCAGACGCCTCCCTGACGGTACTGCCTGATGGATAAGTATCTGCCTCTATTTCTCAGCATTCAGGACACCGTTACTCCTGACCAAATTAATCCTCCATTTGCAGAAATGTAGCCCCAAACTTGCAACGAACCTCCACTATGCTTCACTGTTGCCTGCAGACACTCATTATTGTACTTCTCTCCAGCCTTCGGCAAACAAACTGCCCTCTGCTACAAATATTTCAAATTTTGACTCATCAGTCCAGAGTACCTGCTGCCATTTTTCTGCACCCCAGTTCCTGTGTTTTCATGTATAGTTGAGTTGCTTGGCCTTGTTTCCACATCAGAGGTATGACTTTTTGGCAGCAATTCTTCCATGAAGACCGTAAGTGCTAATATCGTAGACAACTGGACTTGCTTGCGTTTCTTGAAGACGTTTCGCCTCTCATCCAAGAAGCTTCTTCAGTTCTAAATGACTCATACGAAGTTGCAGGCTATAAACCCTGTGTGGGTGGGAACCCTTGCAGAGTTGTAGGGGTCACGTGAGCTCTTAGTTTCAGAGTCGTTAAGGTCACAGTGTTAGTCGTTGACCCACCTGGCCACCATGTGAGTCGTCAGGGTCAGGTGGGACCAGGGGTGAATGGGTGTGAAGTCATCTGGGGAGGGATCCCAAGACTGCATTGTAGGTGGGGGATAAGTAGTGTCGTAAGCCACCCCCTCTGTTTAACGATGGTCGTTCCAGCTTGACGTAGATGGCTTCTCTTACTCCTCTTTCAAACCATCTTTCCTCCCTGGCGAAGATGTGCACATTGCTGTTCCATGAAGACCACTTCTGGCCAGACTTCTCCAGACAGTAGATGAGTTTTGGTTTCTGCTGGTTCTGAGCTGATGGCACTGCTGGACATCTTCCGATTTAGAATCTGCTGCACTAAGTTTCTTTAGCTGTCCACTGCGTGTACCCATTTCTTTCTGCTTCTTCAAAAGAGCTTGAACAGCACACATTGAAACCCCAGTCTGCTTTGAAATCTTTGCCTGGGAGAGACCCTGCTGATGCAGTATAACTTCCCTGTGTCTTCTTGCTGTGCTCAGTCGTGTCATGGTGTATCACCTGTGACATGAAACTGCCTTCCGCAACCTCACCTTGGTAGCAGGGTTTGGCTGTTCTTCACCCAGTTTTAAGCCTCTTACACAGCTGTTTCTGTTTCAGTGAACGACTGTGTTTCAACCTACATATGAAACTGATGATCATTAGCAACTGTTTGGTATAATTGGTTAATCATACACCTGAATGTGATCCTACAAAATCCCTGACTTTGTGCAAGTGTACCTAGAAGAATTGATGCTGCTTTGAAGGCAAAGGGTGGTCACTCCTAACATCGATTTGATTTAGATTTTCTTCTGTTCGCTCACTTTGCATTTTGACCTAAATTCATCAAAGATAAATCATGATTGTGACCATGTTGCCACTGATCATCATTCAGCCACGTTACTCACTACAGCCACGGCATTGGATGACAGCAGCTCTTCGGGCGACATGGAGGAGAAGTAGGCGATGTTGGTGAGCGTGTACACAAAGGTCACCAATGGTATGGAGATGTAGATGGCACGAGGTAGATTCCTGACCAAGGTCACACACCATGCACAGATGATACAGTCAAAACCAAAAAAAAAATAAAGCAATCAAACATGCATGAAAGTTGGATTAACACAATCATAAAAAGGAGAAAGTGTCAGCAGCACACAGCCGGTGTGGGCGGAAAATACCAGCTGACACAAATCTCTCTGATTACTAATTACATTTCCTGCTGCAGGAAGTCATGAGCAGTACACCTGGTTCTCTTTTGTAACTCTTGGTTATAAATGTGAAAAGTACACCGGGGTGAAAATGCAAATGAGTTAATACACAAGAATTGTTAATACTCCAGGGTTTCATCCTCTGAAAAATTGAGATGCATTTAATAATGTTTTAAGGCGTTTTTTCAATAAAATTGAGGGGGCAAGGGAAATTTGCTAAAATAGAGTGATGGTGTCTCAGATTCGAAGCTTAGTATTATGGGCATTCAGTGATTATGTTGTGCTAACACAGCACCACATGATTACTACTATCATATTTTGATGCTTGTTAATTATAACAAAATAATTTGAGTTTAAATCTGGTACCAAACTGAGAATTATGAGCTCTAACAACATAAAACATCACTCAGCAGAAAGTGTAGATGTAACAACTAAAGACAGATATAAAGAAAATAGTTTGACAGTGATTAGTTTGTTTAATCTGCTCAAAGAATGTGGTGTAAAAAAAGACTATTCATTTTAAAACAAGCCAGGAAACAGTCCTGTACACAATGCCTCGTAAAATGTCAAATTATGATTTTATACTTTTGTTTTTGTACCAATCAAAGAAACACAATATAGCATGTTAATCTGAGCGCTTCAGAGGTGCTGATGGGAGGAACCAGACTAGCTCTGTTGCTCTGTTTCCAGTCTTTTTGCAAAGCTAAGTTAACCAGCTGCTGGTGCCAAATTAATATTTAACTAATGAACAGATATCAGAGTGGTATAAGCAACTGAACATATTTTCCACCATGTCAAACTATTCCTTTAAAATTAGATTTAACTGGCACTGAAAAAGCCCAAAATGTCGCCAACAATCTGAACAAGCAAACAAAGAAACAAGCTGAGATGAAAGCTGGACATTTGCAGCACTGGATGATGATGAGAAGCTTAAATATTCACCGTCTGGGTTCAACCACTTCCTCCGTGACGTAGTTGAGGAAGTTCCATCCACTGAAGGCGAAGGAGGCCTGCAGGAAGGCCAGAGCGATCTGACCCACCGACGGCGTCCTGTCGAGGGAGAAGGCCACCTGGGGAGTCAGCGCCTCGTAGTTCCCTGCAACATAAATCACACATATGAGTGGTTTCTTTATTCACTTCAAGGAACAGTGAAGCTTGAGCCTGAACACTGAGGATGTTACCATTGCAGATCTGGACCAGGCCGACCACGATAATGAGGCCCAGGGCCATCAGCTTCCCCACCGTGAAGACGTCCTGGATCCTGGTGGCCATACGAACACTGGAGCAGTTCACCCAGGTCAGCAGCACTGAGCAGAGAACAGGAACACAGCCAATACAGTCCATCAAAAAGTCGTTGAGTTATTTCAGTCTGGATTGGGCCCGGGTTCAAAACATATTGTTTAATTCTGGATTTTTAAGTTTATTTGACATTCAGAAAGCCACACAGCAACCCTTCAGCATGGTTTTCTCCCTCTGTGTAAAAGGATGGGAAATTTTGGGGCGTTGCCATAAATACTGGCTGTATCTATTCCTCAAGCTCTCGCATTTTGCAAGATATTCACTTTTACATAGATCCTACATTTCCCATAATGCCACTCAGCATCACCTTCTCATTAGATTCCGGTAAACGCCAACATCTTCCAACCTCCATGCCTCCAGTTTGGAGCTTTCTGTTATAAATTTGTGTTTATTTATTACTATGTTTGTCTCCAAGCGCAAGCTGAGGTAACCCTGATGACATCACAATAGTATGACATCATGAAGGTTATGTCATCATACTTGCAAAGTTCATGCAGAGCAACCCAAAACTTGGCCTGGACAAGAAAATTGACTTTGACACGCTACAGTTGGAAGAGTGCTCCTTTAAATACATCAGCAGCAGTACAGTCACCACACTGGCGAAGCGGTGCTGGTGCTCTTGCCGGCGGTGGGCGGCAGCAGCCAGTTGCCATGGGAGGCAGGAATGTGGGAAACGGGCGAGCGAGGGAGGGCATGATTGTTTCACCTCGTCCATCATTGTCACCGGCTTTGCCCCGCTCTCTCTCATGGTGGCCTCGCTTCCCGGCACAAAGACGAGCTGTCAGCCCCACAAAACAAACCACTTCCGTTGCGAAGAGCAAACAAAACGTGGCCCCCCACCACTCCGAGGAGGCCGGGCAGAGCTCACGTTTCAGCATCCAGCTCCAAAAACAAGTGTGAATGATGGCGTCAGAGGCGAGGAATCACACGCTGAAGCCCCGCCGTTTCACCCCACAGACGGGATTTCAGGCCAGACGTTATTTACTCATTGATAAGACAAAGAGGCCGTGTGGATTAATGGTGTTCAGTGCAGGTACTCTCAGGCAAGACACCAAGCAATTAGGCAGCACTGACAGGTCCACAAATGTGAAGTCAGCTCAGGGCTGTGCAACACGGAGGTCCTGAATGAAGTCTGCTTGGCCTGTCCTGCCACTTCTCGCACTGGCAGTCCTTAAAGTCCTCATGCAGCATTTCTTTTTTTTTACACGATCAATTTTTGATGGGAACATTTAAATTTTTGAGGAGTGAAGAAGCTCTCTGCTGCTTTCACGTCCCCTAAAACTCAGCGGGATGCTCTCGACATCTGCAGTTACTTCAGGTTTTGCTGATGGTAATGCAATCATCTACTTTTTCCTTTTTATATTAAAAGCTTCCACTAAATATTAACATGCAACGAAGAGTCTGTCACCTTTGAGCCCTTTGCTATCTGTTCAAATCCTACTGTACATCTTGTACAAAGCACCAGCATATGTCAGGCGCTTGTTGGATCATTGAATAGTGTCTGAAATGGAGCTGCAACAATTTGTCAATTAACTGATGAGTCAATGAACTGAAAATTAGTTGGTAACAATTCTGATCATCAAATAATGGTTTTAGTAAACTCAGTTGCCAGAGAAAAATGATGTCATTGTACATTTCTGCAGACTACAGATTGCACGTTATGTAGTGGATGCGTTGAAAGTTTATGTTTTGCAAACACTGTGGTTAAGTTATGGTGGGTTAAAGATCACGTTTGGGCTTTAAATATCCAGTTTTGGGGGCAGAGTCTTGGCTGGAAAAACAGCGATGTCTCGGTAAGAAACAACTGCTTTTTGTGTCACTATCCCAACAGGAAAAGCAGCGTTGAACACTTTCTTGTGGTTCTTCTGAAGACTGGGCTCTTTATTCTTAAGCAAAAGCATTTGCTGGTGTCATGCTTCTTAAAGGCACGCTATGCAGGATTTATTGCTTACTGTTTGTAAACACAATATCAGACTTAGCCACTCCTCCTCAGCCCAATGAAACTTTACGGTGAAGCCCCGCAACCTATTCGCCTAAAATCGCGTCTGCCCTGCACTGCTGGTCGCTTCTGGCTGCAGCTGAATTGGCTGTCTTGATGTGAGCACCGTCTGTATTTTTCAAATTGCCCCACCCTCTCGTCACGCCACTACCTTGGTCTGCATCGCAGGTATCCCAGCGTGCTTTGTGCAGAAAATCAGGGGCTTCCAATACGCAATGAATGGAAGCAAATTCCTGGTTGCGTGCAGTTGCACACCGTGGGGCATGCACCGTGAGAAAGCAGCGATGGTAAAGTGAACTAGAGAGTGAATGGAGATGGAGCAGCATTAACCAGAACAAAAAAGAGAATGAGAAATGTAAAAAAAAATTTTTTGATTGTTTCACGGCGGTTAAGTTCTAAAGCACAAATAAACACCTCTGCACAACCTGCAGGAAGCTGCTGCATTGCTAGACTTTGTACCCTGTACCCTGCTTATCTGCTCTGTGTGTGCATGTGTGGCCCTCTATCAAACAGACACACAGACCTGCAGCTCAAATCCACAGAACAGAGACTGGCGAAGACAGCGGTGTATCCTGGGGTCTCATTTACAGACACTGTGTCAGCACATAACGAAGCCTGAAAGAGGCGTACGTCACTTTCCACGCAAAAGCTGTGATCTACAAAAACAGACTTGATGGAGACACTTTGACCTACACTTACAAACATTTGGAGACAGGAAATTAGTGACGCAGATGGTGAGGTGGAGCCTGATTGTAGAAATTGTCTAAGACTTTTTGGTGCACCCCAATTTTGGCTTTCATCCATCCATACATTTTTAATATAGATCCTATGTATTGTTTTATAAATGGACCCCTGGTCACTATGTTTTTATACAGTAGTCACGACCTCGCGCTGCTATTGGCTGGGGGCTACACACCTCTACCTAAAGGCTGACAGCCAAAAGCATCCTGAACAAACCCAAATAAGAAATAAAAAAGGAAAATACAGGCAGAGGGCAGGTTTTCTGCAGATACAGAGCCGATAATGATTGACAGGGATTACTTTAGTGTGAGTCTATATATTGTTTTTTAAGGGAAATCCTGCATAGTGTGTCTTTAAATGTAAGAGACTGGTGCTTTTCATTGTCATGCATGATAATGAGAAGAGTAGTTTGGGATTTTTGGACTGTTGGTCCAATAAAACATACCACTGAAGACATCATCCTGGGCTCTGAGAAACTACACAAGGCATGTTTTACTATTTCCACACATTCTATCGACAAAACATTTATTCGCAACAGTAAAGAGCAGATTCATTTAAAATGAAAATTATCATTAGTTGCAGCCGCAGTCTGAAACACTGACTGTCACACCTTTCTGAGGTCTAGGGCTGCCCTCTAATGGTTGACCAAACGCTAGTCAACCAGAAAGGTCATTAGTTGGATAGATTTCTCTGGTCGCTTAGTCGCAAAAAAAAAGGGAGCTGCAACTTGTCAAAATAAACCTTTGAAAGGTCAGACACAGGAAGTGGCCACGGTCGACACTTAGACCTGAGTCAAACCAATCACAGCCGACAGATATCTTTCCCTTCTTCTGTAAATATTCAGTCTGATAAATACGTAAAAGTTGATCATGTTAGTGCAGGGCTACCCAGAGCTTTACATCTGTCCCACAGACGATAGGCCTACACACTTAAAAACAGCACCTGGAAGAAGATCAGCTCTAAACTCAGGATTTCAGGTAAATAGGCTATACGGTGCTTGTTCATTTTGCCTAACAACCACATATGCAACCTGCCACCGCCAATGTGCTCCTGAAAGCTGGCACAATAAAGGCACAAGAGTAGCACCCAGAGCCCGACCTCATGTATTCCAGGCGGTTAAAGACGCAGCATGTGTACGGCCCCTAATTTCCAGGGCTGGTACCTGCGGTTATTCCACAGGCTAGTTAATAACATGTCGGGCAGGAAATCCAAAGTGTGGGATCATTTTGAGAAGATGAAGGACGAACCCAAGGTGATATGTAAACTCATCTTCATTGGTCGACTACAAACATGACGTATCATCTGAAACATGGAAGTAGCTACATGCCCATTAGCCCACAGCGTCATTAACAGGCGGCTCGCTCAGTGTGTGACGTGCACTTGTAGATAAAATATAGGCCTATATTAATGAAGGTTCATTAGTACGGTTTTGTATTTCTCTGTAATGTAGCACAGTGTTAACAATGTTACTGATACTATTCTTTCTCACACCTTCAACTCAAACCACTAAAATATATCATTTAATAATTGAATTAATATTGTAAACATGCAGGTGACTAGTTGACTAATGACCCTAAATGATGACTATTGGTCTATACGCCTATAAGAAAATTCTTAGTCATGGTCAGCCCTACTAAGGTCATTAATTGATCATTAAACCCAAACAGCTATCATCCAACTCTAAGCAGACACAGCAGGCCTGTCAGTTTCTGGATTTCTTCATGAGCTAAAACCAGCTTTTATTTTCCAAACTACAGAAACCAAACATTCTCCCTCATCCCGTCTTCTAGCCCTCCCCTCCTCGCTCCTCGGGGGATGCTGTGCATTTTTTACTGCAGCCATTAAAAAAGGTTTTTAAAAGCCTTCAGCAAGGAGTTACATAAGAGACATTTCCCCTCTGACACACAAAGGAATGGACCCGTAGTTTATTGATGAGCTGGATTATGATCGGCATTAGAGAGGAAAGATGAATGAGTGTCTCCTCATTAACAGTCCTGTTTTATTTCTTATTTATACTATTATTGCATTTATATTTAAAGAAGCATTACACTGCTGGGCTGTTTTTCTAGAAGGAAGACGCAAATACAATACTTGTGACATTGGTGCTACATGACCAGAGAAAACAGAAGAAGGCTGTGGCATTCACTTTTTCTCAAGAGGTAGAAAACCCACAACTACCAGAATGCACTGCATCACATGAACCAATAAACGCTCCTGCAACCTTGACCTTTTTTTCCACAGAAAAACTATATAGTGGATCTTGTAGTAGGAATTGTGCAAATTTGCAGGAAAGCCCAATCAGTCTTTTTTCAACATTGGCAGTATAAAAACAAAATCGGGGAGTGCAGCAAAATGCCGCCTGCCCACTTTTGTTTATACAGAATGCACCTTTTTCAGGGCAATGGGGGGGCGTGAGCAAGTAACAAAACGTGTAGCTCAGTGTGTGACGTAAACAGTGACGTGGGAGGGAAGCCGCAGCTGGTCAGTCCTTCGGCGATTCTCTCATAAGTCGGCCCGTTCTTCACCGTCCCCGTCATCTGACGGTTAATGGCCTCTTCGTTTGCGAGGACAAGGAGGGCGCGCAATTCCTTGTCTCCCCAGTTGCTCATCTTTACAGTGTCTGTCAGGTTTGTGTTTCCCTCTTGCTACTAGCTGCTCACTAATTCCTGCTATCAGCTGTTTCCTGTTGCGGAAGGCCGCCTCAGTCTTTTTAAACTAAAAAGGTTCCGCATATATGTGTACCCTACGAGGCAGAAAACTGGGCGCCTCAGATCAACTCGCCAATCCGGCTCTGTGTGTCTAAATGCTCGCAGCTTGCCAGCAAAACGGCCCAACATTCACGGAAAATCTGGCAGTGTAAAAGGGGCTCTAGAGACAGACAACCACTCACACTCACATTCACACCTACGGACAATTTAGAGTCACCAATTAACCTGCATGTCTTTGGACTGTGGGAGGAAGCTGGAGTACCCAGAGAAAACCCACGCTGACACGGGGAGAACATGCAAACTCCCCCCCATCCAGGAACCCCGTTGCTGTGGGGCAACAATGCTAACCACTCCACCACTGTGCCGCCCTGCACTGAAATATCTTTCTGAAAAACATTAAAATGAGAAATAGGTAATACAGTGCAGATGGTACAGATGTCACTTACAGAGACAGGTGGCGGACAGCATCCGTGTTGCCATGTATGGAGGAACACAATTTGGGAAGACGGGCTGCAGGACGTAGCTGGAGAATGTGAGGGCGATGACGGCCAGCGTGGTCGGATACATGATGAGGACGGCGCTCCACAACAGCAGAAACCTGAATAAGAGAAAGACTTCAGTGACTGGTGTGTCCAAGTACGGCACGCTGTATAATTCAGCATTAAACATGAATACACGTTACATTTACGACGATTATAAGTGATAATATTTATAGTAGTGTCCTGTTTTCAGTGGAGCATTATGATGTTATTTGCTTCTCTTAAATACTTTTAAAGGGTTTTCCACTTTTACCCAGGTAGCTAGAATTGCTTTGTCCGAGGGTAGTATAAAAGCAGTGGTAGAAAGTAACTAAATACATTTGTTCTAGTACAGTTTTGAGGTACTTATACTTCACTTGAGTATTTCTATTTTACTGCACTGCATTTATTTAATAACTTGAAAGATTCAGATTCATATTGTGAGATATAATCACCAAATAAATTATGATGCCTTAATACAGCATAAGAAAAACGTTATTGGTCCATGGGCAAAAAGCTACCCCAGTAGGTTTTATGCCTTCACGGACCAGTGAAGTTGCAGTTACAGTTTATATTCATGTCTGTGAAAACATCTTCCACCCAGCAGCACAGAAGATCTATACAATCAGCACAGTTTCAAGGTGGACACCCAAGATTAGAGTCACCAATTCAGTATCTGACCAAATATTTCCCCTTCTGTTCCTGGGATATGATCTTGAATAACAGCCAGGAAAGTGTTTTATGCCGAACATTGTGATGTCACAGTGAAGCTGACCTTTGACCTTTTGGATACAGAATGTCATCACTTCATTATTTTTATCCTGTTAGACATTTGTGTGAAGTTTTGTCTTAATTAGCATATGAATTCTTGAGTTATGGCCAAAAACATAATTTGTGAGGTCACACTGACCTTGACCTTTGACCTCTGACACACAAAATTCTAATCAGTTTATTCCAAATGGACTTTTGTGCCAAATTTTAGAAATTCCCTCAAGCTGTTCTTGAGGTATTGCCTTCACGAGAATGAGACAGAAGCAAGGTGACAGTGACCTTGACCTTTGACCACCAAAATTCAATCAGTTCATCCTTGAGTCCAAGTGAATGTTTGATAAATTTAAAGAACATCCCTTGGGGTTTTCTTGAGATATCTCGTTAATGAGAATAAGACAGGCAAGGTCACAGTGACCTTGACCCTTTGAACTATGACCACCAAAAACTAATCAGTTCATCGTTCACATGGGCATTTGTGCCAAATTTGAAGAAATTCCCTCAAGGTGTTCACAAGGATGGGACAGAAGTACGGACCCACAGACGCACCGACAACCCAAAAACAGCAATAGCCTCCAGCCTCAACTATCGCTGGTGTGGAGGCATAAAAAGCAGTTCTTCCTGGACTTTGAAGTTAAACAAAATTTCAGTATATGTAACAATTTTCAAAGTCATAAAAAGCACACCAGTGGGCAATTTACATGAACTGTCTCTGATCGCGATTACCATCTACTTTACATTTCACTACATAGTGTGTTCGGTATAACAAAGTCTTCAACAAATGTCTGGTGAAAAGTGTCACACTTTATCTTCTGTAGTGCACTCAAATGTTCCGACAATGCACGGTTACTAACTGAGAGTTAACGTCATTCATCGAGCAGACAGAAAACAGGGTGAATGACCTGAGTAGCGTCCAAACTGACACACTCTATGTCCTCTACACCGCCCCACTTTACACTGCAGCAGAGTATCTTCACTCACCCCATCAGACCACCAAATATCTCCGTGACATAAGAGTAGTCTCCTCCAGATTTGGGGATGGTGACGCCCAGTTCAGCGTAGCAGAGGGAGCCCAAGGCAGCGATGCAGCCTCCCAGTACCCAAACCACCAATGCCAGACCCACTGAGCCCGAGTGCTCCAGGACTCCCTTTGGAGAGATGAAGATCCCGGAGCCGATGATGTTCCCTGAGGAGAGGAGGAAGAATCAATCAGCTTTGTGAGCCAGGTGTGTGCACATACAAGGAATTTGACTCATTTTTTTGTTGCTCTCGATGTACATAGAAAGAAAAAGACCATCCTGAAACCAGAGCTTTTGTTTGGTATGCATTTTTAATTTCTCCCAGCTATTTGGGATCAGTAGGACCTGACAAGTATTAAAGAAACTAAGCATTGTCTTTGAACACTAAGTAGTTTTGGAAAAAAAATCTGTCCTTACACAAAGACAGTGGATTTATTCTTAGTAGTCACAAGTGTGTAACAAAGTATAAAATTGCTCATTTCAATGCCTGAAAATTGTTGTGCAAAAACAAAATTGCAAATCATAAAATGTATAAAAAGCAGCGTAACTCCGTATGAATTTTCCTTGCTCCACACTTCAAGCTAGGAATGTCCCTTTTGTCTGTAGTAAGGTGCAACGGTATAAGATTTTCACAATACGATAGCCATCTCAGAAAATATCATAGATCCATGGTGTCACGGTATTACAGAACTTAGAATGACTGAAAATAGAATGAAAACAAAAAGGTTATTGTTGGTTGAAAAAAACGTTTTCTTACTATAACTGAAACTTGAAACCATTTTGTTAATGGAAGTATGTGCAAAAAGTCTCCCCTTTGAAAATAACTAAAATAAAGGGGAGATTCTCCGTCCACTTGCATTCTTTTTCAATATCGTAGATAAGCAAATGTACATAGTATGATAGGCGTACGCTTTTATATCACAGTATACCTTGAAGCCAATATATATCGCTGCAACTGTAGTCTGTAGGAACAGTCCGTCACACCAAATTGGCCTGTATGAAATGCCGTCATAATAAAACGATCAAGTCCCAATGTCCTCAAACAAGTACTTCCTCATTAACAGCATCTTAGCTTGATACTGTTGCTTAAATTGTGCATGTTTTCTGAACGTTCACAGATACAGATGACATGGAGCAGTGCCACCTGAGATTATAGAGGCAGTGAAGCGTAGTGCTAGCGAGATATGACTGCAGGAAATGACAAAGAAATGAAATAGTGGTGGAAAGGAGTGAAAAGGATTTTGAAAAGAAGTTTGAAACTTGTGACTCTGCCCTCTATGGTCATATATCAGCTGTATCTATGCCATCATAGAGGACGCATGAAAGTATGAGGGCAGTGATGTTTACATTTGAAACAGATGCTACAATGTTCATACATAAAGGGAGTATAAATGAGCCTAAATGGTGCAAAACTACTTCAAAACTTGACGACTACCTCTGACTTGCTAAACACAGACTTTGCCTCACCTCTGTGTGTAATTTTCTGGCATAAATATGCAACATGACAGAGATGGGGATGAAAATGTAGAAAATGCTTAAGTAGATAAATAAACATTAATCCAGCCCATGAACTTAAATTTGCACATTCACTGCAAATATTTTCACATATATGGGGAACATGTTTACATATGCATGTCCGCACAGCACATCTCCAACATTTCCGCTGCTGCACCTTAAAAACACCAGTGACCCTGTTGAGACTCTTGAGCAACCTCAGTCACACGATCCAAACTGTCCCCCTCTGAGTTTATACAGAGGGTATTAAAACACAAAGAGCTCTATAACAGAGTGAGTTAGAGAAGGAGGTAAAGGCCATCACTCAGGCTGGGACAATCCCTCCTGCCCAGAGCCTCAGTATGCAGTGTAGAGTACCAGCAGATCCGACACATTCAGACTACAGCGCTACCAGTAGCACGGCAGAAGGCAGCCAAGTGGCACAGACATCCATTACATAACCAGACATAAATTATCCACTCCAGGCTGCAGAGGTGGGAAGTGACCGACTCACCTTCTGCATCCCTCCAATCCTGCAGCTTCCTTAAAGTGACACACAGGAAGGAAAAACACAGACTGATGCTGTGGAGATGAATGTCGACAAAAACTGCAGCTCAGTTTAATCTAGAGGTACAAAATGACTCTTGATGCTGAGCCTGGTTCAGTGTGTCGAGCAGCCAGCTTGTTCACTCACTCTGAATGGAAAGGTGCTTCAGCATTCTGCACACAGGACCTTTCTCTTGTTCTGGAGAAGGATTTTGACAAAAATGTCCGCCTTGAGCAAGAAACAACGGCTTGGCCGAGAGGGAGCTCAGGTCCAGTTAGCCAAAACCTGGGCTAAAAACCAGGGTCAGACCTCATAAGGGTCACTGTGACGTGCAAGTGCTAAAAAGCCTTTAAAGGGACAGTTCACCCCAAATCAAAAATACATATATCTCCTCTTACCTGTAGTGCTATTTATAAATCTAGATTGTTTTAGCGTGAGTTGTCGAAGTCAGCTGTAGAGATGTCTGCCTTCTCTCCAGGATAATTGAACGAGATGGCACTCAGCCTGTGGTGCTCAAAACACCAAAAAAAATATATTTGAAAAACCCAACAGCAATGTCTCTTTCCAGAAATCATGACCTTGTTACTCGAGATAATCCACAGACCTTGTCGTGAGTAATTTCATGTAGGAGCTATTTTCGTTTTACCGAGCTACACCCACCAACTGTATCACTGCACAGAAGGAAGCGTGCATCTACTCATGGAAGAGAGGTTCATGCCGACTGTAAGAGATGTGAACATTACTGGTGTCCTCCTCGGCTGAGCTGTAACGTTAGCTAGCTCACTGGTACTAAGGCCCAATCCCAATACCCCCCCTTGTCCACTACCCCTTGGCCCTCAAAATGAATCAACGAGGGGTAGGGGTTGAAATCTTTCCCTAGGAATTGGGACACCACTCACTACGTCACTGCGTCGGTTACGTTCACGCATACCTAACTATTTTAAACAGGAAGCTGCGAGCCATCTACATTTCCAACCGGCATCTACAATGGAGTCTCCATCTGAGTTAATCCTACTGATCGCGTTTGCATTATTCATCATGATTCGTTTGATGAACGACAGACGACAGGGGACTTTTGCTAGCTAGATAGCTAGCTAACCAGCTAACATTACGAGGCAGCATATTTATACTAGCTGGCGTGCTATCGTAATGTGAAAAATCCGACAATTTTGCAGAACAGGACAGATGACAGACGCCAGATAGTGTGAGCTAGCTAGCTAGCTAGCTAACAAGCAACCTGACGAGGGTAACGTTGGCTATGTATGAACTTTTTCCCACATCTCTTGCTCGGTGGTAGCCATGGCGACGTCTACCCCTCGCTGGCAAGTCAGCATCTGAAATCCCTCGCTCAGAAGGGCTAGTTTCATACCCACTACCCCTTGTTGTGCCCCCTACCCCGACACGCAAAAAGGAATTGGGACACCACTACCCCTCACGGGAACGCACAAATGTAGGGGTAGGGCTAAGGGGGGCCCTTAGTGAGCTAGCAGTAGATGCACCATGGATGGATAAAGAGACCTGGATACATCATTGGAGGCAGGGCCTTGTTTATTTCTATAAAGTGGCACATGAAGCCAAAATGGTTCAACTGCCCCATATAAAATTACCCAAAAGATCAGCACTGCTTCCGCATTGTGTGGTGCATAGAGGAGGCGCACGCGAGACTTCCACCAACTGAGCCAGCTACTTGCGGTTTAGGGATCGGTTAACTTGAATGGAGGATAAAATGCCTAAATTGTCATCGGAACTGAATGGATTAAATCTCGATAGTCATTTTGCAGGGATTCTGAAGCTAAAAAAATGTATCCACTCATTTGCAGACATCTTTTTGTTCCTCATGTAAGTCTACGGAAAAAGTCTTTCTGGGCTGAAGGGCATCACATGACGTGGTAATTACACTGTTTGGTCACTACGAAAATTGGCTTCAAAGCCCTGCACACTTCCTGGGGGCCTGAGATGCACGCTTCCATCTGCACGGTGGTACGGTTGGCGGCTGTAGTCACAACCATAGACTGAGGGGATGCATGATATTGGATTTACAACATGCGTACATAACAACTCATTCGACCGATAACTGAAACCAACATTTCTAAATTTAGTGATCATCAAGTCTCTTCTGTAGTGGAATTAACATCATACTCTTACTCTTATTGTGATGGCCCACCAGCAGATGAAGACATGAAATACAATTCATTCATAGTGCAAAAGAAGAAAAAGCATATTAGCTAGCTGCGGTGACATCACCCACTGTTTTGTGGACTTTTGATGAGAAGCTTCAAGTTGGCATTTTGGCTGTTGCCATCTTGTTGTTTTTGGAGCCACAAATGACCATATTTGGAGGAGAGGGTGGAGCTGTAGTGATGCCTCACAGTCAGTTAAAACGGCCCTGCCTGTAATTACGTGTAACTTTAAGCCTTAATAAAACGTAAACAGGTGAGTTATATAAAAACACATCCTCCGTACAGTTGTCATAAATGTTGAGATTAGCTATAGAGACCAAAACTGTTATTTGTATCAGGCTGTAAACATGTTTACATGAGAGTCTTTGGGGATCGACTTGCTACTGGAGTCAGCCTCATGTGGCCATTAGAGGAACTACAGTGGCACTTTGGTGTTGGCTTCATTTGTCAGCCTTGGAGGTTGTTGCTTGCTCACAACAAGGTCTGTGCCTTATCTAGAGTAATCGGGTCAAGATTTCTGGAAAGAGACATTGCTGTTGAGTTTTTCAAATGTATTTTTTGGTGCTTTGAGCACAACAAGCTGAGTGCCATCTAGTTCCATTACATTGGAGAGAATGCAGCCATCTCTACGGCTGATATCTCTAACACGCGGGTACTCACACCAAAACTATCTAGACAGATAAACAGCACTGTAGGTAAGAGGAAAAATATGTGTTTTTGATTATGGGGTGAACTGTCCCTTTAAGTAGGATCCTGCAGCCATCTGTCCCCCTGCTGCTTTACATTTTTCCTCTCATTCACACACTCAGTGACACACCAATCTCAGCTAACTACCATGGAAGGTGCTCATCTGACCATCGGGACCAATTTGAGGTTCAGTGTCTCATCAAACAACACTTTGCTCTTGAGATCGATCAGCCAACTCTGCATTTGGAGGATAACCCAC